TGTCAAATATTCAAGATAAGTTGTGACCCCTAAAGATATTTTTTATTTAAAGATTTTTTAAATCCAGTGCTATTTTGTTATATAGAAGAAACTTAGGGGTGTAACAGAAGAAATTTTCAAAAAAAAATTTTATCCCACTCTAATATGCATGACTAACTGAAGAATGTTTTTCTAAAAAGGTCTAAATCCATTTTTTCTAAACTAATAAACTTTTTTTTTTTTTTTTAATGTTTTATTTTTGTCGTTGTTTACAAAGATAAACAGACAAGGCTTCTGAAAGAAGATCATAATGATCTTATCATGAGAACCTTTTACAATTTTTTTTAAAATCAATACATTAACAAAACTAAAAAATTACAATAAATCGTGATATAAATTGGAAATATAAATCAAACCACTAATGTTATATATAATAAAAAGTCTGATCATATCATCAGATCTTATAAAAACGTAAATATATAAATACATATATATATATATACATAGTAAATACAGTAATACATCTCTTTTTTTAAAAGGCAAGAGAAAATACAACAGTTTTACAATTAAAAAGACAAATACGTGATTGTTATAAAAAGTATTTAAATATATCATCAACAGATAAAATAAAATTTTTAAGTTTACTTTTAAAGATCGGAAATGTATTAGATATATCAAAATTAGGTATAACAATTTTATTCCAAAGATAGGGTGCTCGAAATGTAATGCAAAATTTGTTAAATTTTGTTCTGCAAACAGGTTCATGTACAAAATTTTTATTTCTAAGTAAATATTTATTAATTGGGTTTAGAGAAAAAAGGTTTTTAAAGACAGGTAAAGTTAAATCGTTTTTCCACATGTAAATAAAGCATAAAATGTTATAAACATTGAGCTCGTAAGTATTAAGTATTTTCATCTCCATTTATATAGATTAAAAACAAAAGTGGGCCCAAGATAGAGCTTTGGGGAACACCACAGGAAATATTTAGTAGATGGCTTTGGTTATAGTTATTAATAAAAACAAATTGTTTGTGGTTTGATAAGTAACTACGAAGCCATTTAATAGTTATATAATTTAATCCGTAGTATTTTAGTTTTTCAAGAAGGATTTCATGGTCGACAGTACCAAAAGCCATCGACAAGTCAATAAAAACACCTAATGTATATTGGGATCTTTGAAAGGAATTTTAGATTTCTCGTACAAATTGGATGATTGCATGTTCGGTAGAATTATTTTTTTTGAAACCAAATTGATTATAATAAAAAAGATTATTGGAGACAAGATAATTGTATACGGGAGAGTGGTACTGAATGGACCACAAAATTCAACTTTTTTGTAAAAATAATTTTTTCCCATATTGTCAACAACTATGGCGGATATATTAATTCAGAAGTCAAAATTAATACCTTAACTAACAATCCTTAAAAGTTGTAAACCATTGCGCAAACAGAACATAGGCAAAATGTGCGATAAATGTGACCCGTACCAAATTATTTAGTGGTCCATTCAGTACTGTTCATTGTACTGAATGGACCAACCCTTGTACTGAATGGACCACAAAAAAAATTTTTTTTTTTTTATAAAAAAGATCAATATCTCTATCGCTAATAACTAAAGCCGATATATTAATTCGGGAGACAAGATTAATATCTTAACTAACTATTCTTGTATATTGTATATTATAATAAAAGTTGTAAACAATTGCGCATAACAAGTTACATTATGCAAAGCAATTAGGATGATAAATGGAGTTTAAAAACAAGAAAGAAGTATGTTGAGACATTGATATTTCTAAATTAATTAATACAACTTTAGACCGAAGTCTCAATCATATAATCAAGTTACAATAATCACAAACATATTGGCTGGCATTATCTGCACTTGTGCAAGCTTTATGTGCCCAGCTCGCACACTGTCTGCAACGGTACCATACTTCGTTGTCACGACCCATTTCTTCACATATAGCACACAAATCGTAATTTGATCTAATACCTCCACAAAAATTTAAACTATCTTTGACACCATTATCATTTCTTTCAACAAGAATATCATCAGCCTCATCATTATTATATGTCATTAATGGAAACTTTAGAGTTTTTGAGTTGCTTGATTTCTTTCTTGATTTCCTTTGACGTTTATTTTTAGCATCTTTTTGTTTTTCAGAAAAGTTTTGTTTTTTTAAATTTTGCTGAAGTTGTTGATTTCGAAGAGCCTCTTTAATTGGAGTGTCAGTAAGAATCGAAGAGGAGAGCTTTTTGCGAGCACCTTTGGTTTTTTTTAAACGAGCTTTTGCAGAAGGATAAGGGCGTATACTTTCCACATTCAGAGTATTGCTAACATTTTTGTTGACTTTAACATTTCTATTTATTTCTTCTGAAACTGGATAGATGTTGAGTGCTTCAGGATTAGGTCTAATAACTTCTACTGAAACTGGATTGATATTGAGTGCTTCAGGATTAGGTCTATTAATTTCAACTGAAACTGGGTTGATGTTAAGTGCTTCAGGATTAGGTCTAATAATTTCTAATGACACTGGATTGATGTTGAGTGTTTCAGGATTGGGTCTATTTGTAACCTGAGATAAAAAAAAATCCTCATCCTTCCACCGATCAGGTTGAAAAGGACTTATTCCAGATACTGAAAAACCACTAATGATGTTAACTGGCATTGATACTTTTGCCCAAGCCTTTCCAGAAATTTCTGCAATGTCATAGATTGAAACAGTTTTTCCTGGATGTGATACCAACCAGCTATCAATTTCACGATTATAATGACGTTTGAAAGGTCCATACACTGTTATATCTAACGGTTGTAGTTTGTGTGATGTATGGGGTGGGATTGTTAAAACAATTACACCATTATCTGATGCTAAGTCAATGAAGTTAATTGACATATGAGACTCATGATTATCTAGTATCAACAGCACAGGGTTTGTCTTAGATGGTCGAACACTTTTTATAAAATGATTAAACCACTCCATAAAGGTTGATTCCACCATCCACCCAGATTTGTTGGCAGTGCCAACAGAACCAGGAATTGAATTTCGCAGAAAAAAATCTTTAAAATGAACACGTGGAAATATGTAGAATGGTGTTATTGAGGATCCACTTGCATTTAATGCATTGCACATTGTTACCAAGATACCTCGTTCTGCACTTGTAACAGAAGCAACTTGCCTCTCTCCTCTCTTGGCTAAAACATGCTCTGGCACTTGTACAGTAGTAACACCAGTCTCATCAACATTCCATATATCATTTGGTGAAAACTTGTATTTAATCAAAAGACTTTGCAGATTATTATAAAATAGATTTACATTATACTTGTTGAATGCTGACATTCGACTAATTGATGTTGCCTCTAGTTTTCTTATAACAAGTTCTGGATGACGACTTAAAAAAGCTCTAAACCAATCTACACCTGCATGTTTATTTGTTTCCCAAGGTTTAGCAGAACCTCGACGAGAATGTGGACACTTCTTCTCAAGTTTGAGAGCATATTCAAATGTTAGTGCTCTTAACTTAATAGGACTTAACCCATATCCCATTTTTGCAGAAACTAAACAATATTGAACCAGCTCTTGTTCTTCTGTTACTGAAAAAATTTTCATAGAACTGTTACTATATGGAACACATTGCAATTTATTCAATCCATTTTGAGATAGTCGAGCTTCTTTTATTCGCCTCTTAAGAGTTGAACGTTTGACTCCAAATATCTCAACAGCTTTTCTTTCAGATAGAGTTTTATTTAAAACATTTTCAACTGCTTGGATCATATTATTGGGATCCCAATCACCTTTTAGTGCTGTTGCTTTTCGATGTCTCATAATACTTCTGAAATAAATAAAATTTGTTTATAACCATATTATTAGAAAAAATTATCGATGTTATTTTATATATATATATATATATATATATATATATATATATATATATATATATATATATATATATATATATATATATAATTATCTAAACACACACTCACACACACACACACACATAACATGTATAAAAAACTAAATTATATAAAAGCTTGAATGTAGAATAATTTTTTTATTATGATCAACAAGCTTTAGTAATTTAAATATAACAATTAATTTACGAAATTTTATTCTTGGTTTTATTAGATATTACTTGATTTTTTGTATTGTAAAAATTACTGACCATGGTAATTGTCATTGTTTTTAAAAACGTATAAATAACATTTCAGATATATTATATAATATCTAGCATAGAGCTTATCTAGCATATTATATGCCATATAACATATCTAGCATATAACTTTTATTATATATAGTATATATAACAAATGTTATATGCTAGATGTTATTAAAAGTAATACCACCTTATTTAAATATCGTAATAATATTATGACATTCAGTTATTGAAATAATGAAACAAACTACAAACTTATAATTATTAACCTAATATGTAAGCTATTAGTCTGCTTAACTTAACATTATATTATCTGCTTACCTTAACATTATATTGAATAATGAATAATTGCACTTGCGCCCTTAATTCTTCGTTAACTAGATATTTTGGTTTATTTCCTAACTCACATCTCCTTAGTTCATTTAGATCAAAAAACTTTTGTATTTTGTTTTAGTAAGTAAAATAATGAAGCGCGATAAATAACTTCGCAGAAAAATGAAACGCTCCATTCAGTACAATCAATGGTGGTTCACTAATCAAAATATACATGTTACCCATATAATCACAGCAATCAGTAAATCACATAACATTCATTCTAATGTTATACAAAGTAAAAAATATGTATCTATAATATTATTATTAACTATAGTTAACTTTACCTAAAAAATCTAGTGTAAATTGAAACAAATTGAAAAGATAAAAATTTACTTTTAGCTCGAAAAAAACAAAAAACGCAAATATTAATGCATTATTACGAATAACGTTAAACCAAAAATATCAAAGAAACTTTGAGTATACAAAAATTATATGCAATTAAAAAAAATCAATTAACGGCTTGTTTAGTTTTTATTTTTCTAATGGTCCATTCAGTACAAGGTCCATTCAGTACCACTCTCCCCTACTCTATTGTACATAATACGCTCTAAGATTTTTGAAAAGGTAGAAAGGATAGATATAGGGCGATAGTTACTGATATTGCAACAGTCTCCTTCTTTCAAAATTAAAATAATTATTGCAATTTTTAGACGATCAAGAAAAACTCCTTGGTAGACAGATGATTTATAAACTTTATAAAGAATATTTTTGAGATGATCAAAACACTCGATAGTTATGTCACCATTTATTCCATCAGCTCCGATAGCTTTTTTTTTTTTTAGTGATTTAAAGGCGATTTGAAATTCATCAAAAGATAATTCTGAGTATATTTCTTTGGAACAGTTGCAATCATCCTTTGGTACTAAGAAATCATTGAATGCGACTGGGGTAAAGAGAACATTATTAGCTAATTTAGGGCCGATTTCGATAAAGTATTTATTAAATTTGTTAGATATAGCTTTTGATTCATAAATACTTTTGTTATAAACTATAATCATTTGGGGGAGGGAAATTGAGCATGTTATTTGATTGCCAGTAATTTCTTTTATTACTTGCCAAGTACGCTTAGAGTTATTTTTAAATTTGTCTAATATTCTAGAGTAATAATTTTTTTTAGGCGTTTACGAATTTTTTCGAACAAATATTTATTATCTTTGTATATTTTTTCATTTTTAGACGATTTCGTTTTACACAATTTTAGACGATTTTACATACAACTTCTGTTTTGTTTTAGATGACTTTTTGAAACCTTTGGTAACCCAAGGGTTATTAAAATTTTTTATTTTATTTGTTTTTTTAAATAATTGGAAAGTTTGCATCATATACGGCGTAAAATGTTTTAAAGAAGGTCTCATAAATGGTGTCAACATTCCCCTTGAAATTAATATGATCCCAGTGCAAAAGAGATAACTGATTTTTAAAGAGATTCATATTGGTTAGATTAAATCTCGAATAAATATTGTTTTAGAATTATTATTAATCGAAGCGTTTGAGTTAAGAGTCAGAAAGACTGGAAAATGATCAGAAATGTCAGATTTTAAAATGCCTTTTTGAATGTCATTGTTAAAGATATCAGTTGTAATGATATTGTCAATTAGAGACGTTGAGCTTTTAGTTACCCTAGTAGGGCGATTAATCAAAGGAACTGCTCCAGCTTCAAAAATTGAGTCGTAAAAGTTTTTAACTTTATTTTCCTTAATATAAGTAAAGCAATCCATATTAAGATCTTTAAAAATAAAACATTTTTTGTTTTCTTCTAAGCTTTTTTTTAAAAATATTTTGTTCAAAAAAAAATGCTCAAGTTCGCGCTCACGCCGTCAGGTGGTCGATAGCAGGTGCTTAATAATATATTTTTAGATGTTTTGTTTACAAATTCAATAGATAAAACTTCTTTATCGGCATAAATCATTGCTAAATAGATGCGTGATAATTTCATTTATGTATATAGAACTCCACCACCGCGTTTATTAACTTATCTATTGAGCGAAATCAATTTAAAATGAGGAATATAAAAACGTTTAGTATTATTAAGGTCATTTGAGTTTAGCCATGTTTCAGTTAAGCAAATTATATTAAAAAAGTTTTTTGTTTCATCTAGTGAATTTAGCAATTTTTCAAAATTGCAACTGAGGCTTCTAATATTTATATGAACAATTTTAACTTTTTGCGCATGCGCATTTCTGTCATTAAAGTATTTAAAAAGAAATTCTTCTAATTCATTTGGGAAATAATAGGAGCAATCTGTAAACGAATTGATAAAAAAATTTACATCAGGGTCGATGTTATCATTAGTGATAAAATTATTTATTCAGTAAATTTAAAGCTAAGGGATTCGAAGTCGTTAATTTCAACCATATTTGTTATTGGGAATAATTTATTAGAAAAAAATTTCTTTTTAAAACTAGGTGGTATAGAGTTTCTGAGATCTCTGCAAAAAATTACATCACAACTAAAAATGACATACTTACCTTCTTTGTGCAGTTTTGTTTTCGCAGTTAACATCTTCAATTTGAGAAACTTTGACTTCTTTTGGGCACATTGGATGCGAGTTTGATGTTGCAATACGTTTTCTAGTATTCCAATCTCTGACAATAAGTTTATCGAACGAAATGTAAGCAAATTTACCAGCCTGTCGTTCGACTTTCATTCTGTCGCGTAGTTCCTTTCGTATTAGGTTTGTTTCCATACAGTAGTCTTCGGATATGTAGATGTTTTTACCTTTTAGTTTAAAAGAATTAATGAGTATTTTGGTTTTGTCTTTAAAATCTAAAAGTTTCAGGACGATTGTTCTGTGTTTTTTGTTATCAATTTTCCTTGTCCTATGCGCTCTTTCAATTTTAACATTATGAACCCCTAGGTAATCGTTAAATATTTTTTTAACTTTTAGTTCACAGTCATTCCAGCTTTCGTTGTCGTTTTCGGGAACACCATCAATCCTAAGGTTGTTCCGCCTCGATCGATCTTCAATCTTTCTAAGTTTGTTGTTTATTTTTGAAAGCTTGTCGCTGTTGTTATTTGATTTGATATTCGATAAGTTAACTTTTGTAATTGTATCAATCGCGGTTTTAATTTTTTTGTTAAATAAGTCTTCATGAAAGTTTAAGCTGATTTTAATTTCATCAACTTCTTTCATAATAAATGCTATTTTGTTTGAGTTTTCTAAAATGTTACGTTCAACTTTATCCAAACGATCGTTTATTATTTTGATGTTTGAACTAACGATGTTAACAAAAGTGATTTCCTGGTGTTTCAGCATTTTTTCAGTCTCAGTTTTGAACTTCTTGAACATTTCCTTGATCAACTTTTTGACTTCCTCAATCGTAACAAACGTGATTTAAAAACTTTTTCAGATATGTATATATTTTTCGTTAAATTTAAAAAGACTCAAAAACTAATAAGCGATTTTTTTTTTTTAAATTAGAAGCTGTTAAAGTGCGTCTGTTCACGTCAAGCGTTGACAAAGGATTCAATACTAACTAGAACTTGTTACAACCTAGTTTAATGATTAAGTTATTGATAAGTCTGAGAATCTTATATAATCATATGAAAACTCATGACTGAAATCCAGATCTTAAAGTTATCTATAAGGAACTTATAGGATCTGTAAAAAATCACGTAGTTGAATAAAATTGAGCATCAAAAAGGAAATAAAATTACAGATGCTCAAAAACAAAAAAGATACTTGCAAAGATGTAAATAACTTTTTGTAAAATAATCCAAAAAGATTATCTTGCAAAAAGTAGAAAAAATTGATTCAAAAAGCACTTCTTGTAAAAGCTGCTAGTGATGCAAAAAAAAGCTTATACTCATGCTATCAAACCAAAGATTGTTCAGGAAGATTAAAAAAAAGAGATGAGATTTATGAATTTACTGAGATTTTATTATTGAACGGAATGATGTTTTCGATGTCTATTTTGTTCTTAAATACTTATAATTAATTTGAGCATTAAATTTTGATTCTTCATTATTTGTGTTAATTATTCAGTTTCTTTTGTTCATACTTTTTTTATCAGAGCAAAGTAAATCAGAATGAAGCATTTACATAATACTAATCTTAGTAGTTAAGTTTTTATCAAATCCTAAGAATAATTAAATTTAACAATGAAGGTTTATTTTTGTTTGCACATTAATTATATGTATATACTATGGTACATAGAAATAGATAATAAATAGCTTTAGATTTATTGTTGTGATGTAGTTAGCATACATACATACATATATTTTTATAAAAGATTTATAAAAAGAAAAAAGGAAAAATAGATTGTTTTAGTAATTTCTAATTAAAACGTAGTTTGAAAGTAATTTTTGAAAAACATAAAATTTAATGTTTTTGCCAAGTCATCAGAAATAAGAAAACAGAAATACTTATGCGGTGTGCCCTGTTATGAATTTTTTTTAAAAAAAACTATTAACTTTGAAAGTAACCGAACGTATAATAGGATGGTAGGTTGGTTTAATGCATTCAATATAATAAAAGCTTGTGATTTTGATAGGTATTCTGTTCATTTACTCGACCAAGACTTCTCAATTAAATGTTCAAGTTTTTGGGTGCTTTTCTAAAAACGTTTTTGTTACGTTAACTAACTTTTCATAATTTTTTGTTTTATTAGAAAATAAATTGACACCGACTGGTATAAATTGATAAGTAAAAAAGAAAAGAAAAAAAAAGCTTTGAGTTGATACTTTTTTCCAGTGAGCAAATCCAGTTTTCACGTTTTTTGTAAAATCAAGACCCGAATTATTCAAACCGTTTAAACTCATTTACTTATAATAATTTGCAATAGACATAATTTAATAGGTTTATTACATTTAATAATTCTTTTTAATATATTATAGCAAAATTTGTTATAACTTATGCACTATTAAAAACGAATTCGATATTCAAGCACTTATTATGTTCGGGTCAGGATTTTATAAAAAACGCAAAACCTGGATTTGCTGACTGAATAAAAAGTTTCAACCGAAACTTTGCGGGTATTCTACATTGACGTAGAACAGTCATGTGCATATATCATATACAGCTGGAAGAAACACAATGCATCTTTTGTTTTAAAGTTGATTAATGCATAGTGCTTATTGCAATACATAATGCTATAGTTGGTTGCTTTATGTCAGAGATATTAACAAAGCCAACAATTATCACAACAACACCAATAGTGTTTGTGCAAAGATCGAGGATTTGGGTAAAATTTTTATAGCAAGTAAAATTGTTTGCAAACCTTCTTTGTACAAAAATTTACAGCAATTACAGCATGGACCAAGGTTAGAGCCAAGGACAACTGATTTACTTTTCTAAATATGAACCTTGAAAAACACTTTGCAATTGCACAAAATCAAACTACTTTCTTAACTATTTTTATTTTAATATTGCAATATACATGTTTTTTACTTTCCTCTACTTGTATGTATTATAAATGTTTACACTTACATTAGATATATTTCACATACTTGTATACGTTATTCAATTAATAACATTAGATAACATATTGGTAATAGAAATTACGGGAAAAAAACAACCAAAACATAATCTAGGCGATAGAAAAAGCAGAAGCCGAGATAAAGTTTTGTCATTTTTATTTATTTATTTAACATAATAAATAGTTATAATAAAAATTAACGAAACACTTAATGTAGCAAAAAAAGCCTATTATGAAATGTTAAATAAAAAACTAAACATATAATTTTTATTAAGTTACACAGAAATGCGTTTATTTATCTGATTCAATTAAACTTGGCAAACAATAAATAATTAAGCGCTAAAACAACAAAAACGAGGTAATAAAACCAGTGTTAAAACAACAAAAACAAGTTAATACAACATTGTATTTACTGCTAACAGCAGTAGGACCTTAAAGCGAAATAAAATAAGAGCAAATGATCGGAGAACAAAAATATTTAGAATAAGGATTAAAAAGGATGACCGGAAAAAAAATTCAACCAAAAGCAAAAATATACTAAGAATGATTGGTTAGTATTATATTTATATGATTTTACTTTGTTCGAATAGGCAAAATACAAAAGCATATGCTCGCATTAAAGTCCTTAATTCAATATTGATATTAAAAAAATGCCTATACTATAAATAGAAATTAAAAAATGTTAACAAATAGATGTTATATATACAAATATTTTACAAATCATGAAATGTGTTCCTTATATTCTGACGTAGTATTTAATGCTTTGTGGATTCGAAAAAAACATCAAACCAATATATTTTATTATATTTATGGATTAATAAGTCCGTTAGCATGCAACATATCACGAAGCTTATGATAAAACTGCACTTGGTCGCGCGGTTCCATGAAGAGAACTTGTTTTAAAAGCTTGTTGGGATTGTAAGCACTAAATAAAAAAATTTCAGTAAAAAGAGCGTCATAATAAAATTAATATAGAGACCAAAGTTAATAATATAAAAAGAATAATTCTTTAATTATTAAAGATTAATATTTTCTATTTGTTATAACAAAAGTTCGCAGTTTTCTTTCGTCAAGACTAATTCAAAGTCATTGTGTTGCTAAATCAAGACAGAAAAATATAGATAAAATTAAAACCAAAAAAATAACACATTTTAGATAATTTGAATAATTTTATTGATCAGACCTAGAGCTTTAAAAATAAATATTTTTTTTAGACTTAGAGCGTTGAAAAGAATTATTTTACTTAGACCTAATTAGACTGAAAAGTATAACAATAATAGTCATCAATAACAAGAATGAGGGAGATAAAGCTTGGTTAATTTGATCAGAAATAACATCAAAAAGAGTACAGTCTTGTCAAAAAGGTCAAGAAGAAGAACGGTTAAGAACAAAAAGAATGGCGATTGACCAAATAAAAACATAAAAGAACAGTCAGACGATTAAAACCTGATTTAAGGATAACTAGTCAATTAATCCTTTAATCAGGTTTGATAAAGACTTTTGGACTCACAAAGAGCAAGTAAGTATGGTAAATTTTACAATAGATAAAATTCAATGAACAAAAGGTTACTTTGAAAACAACAAACATTAGTAAGAGATAGATATGAAGTATATTTTTAAGCTTATTATTTTTAAATATTATGGTTGTTTTAAATTATAAGAGAACTGGACTCTATCATAGACAGTCTAAGAAATAAACTTTGCAGTTACTTTAGTTCTACTAACTAACCCAAAGTGGTAACAAAGTGGTAACAAAGTGGTAACAAAGATCTTTTTATGTGGCTCCAAGATTGAACACCAAAAACTCTCACAGATAAACAATCTATGCGCAACATGGCATTGTTAATACTCATATATTTTACAGCTGTTGGTGAAGTCAGCCTCCCTGAGAGCTGGCACAGAATTTAGGAAAACATATTATCTAACAGTTGGCAACCAACCCAAAAAACTATTGAGGTTATATTATATTATTAAATATTTATTATAACCCAAAAAAAGTGTTTTAAAACTTTTAACATTTTCAGACTGTTCAATCAAAATGATGCTGAGGTGAATTAAATTTTTATTGTTCAAGAAACTATAGCTAAATTTATTATAATTATAATCTAAATATAATTATAATCTAATTTTATTGAGTATTAATAATAGTGGTAAATAAAATGGGTTTATTTAAATTGAATGTTATAAATAAAAACCAAAAATTCTTATATGAAATGTTTTCTGAAAACTTTTATGAAGTTAGTGATGAACTCATTTTTCCATAAAAAAAATTGATTTACCTGACCACACTTGCAATGTATACATTAACAAAACAGCCCATCAAAAATTGACAGTCAAATCTGTCCATAATACCCCCATGGCCTGGTATAGTGTCTGAAAAATCCTGAGAAAAAAGATATTTTCAGTATACAATAACATTTAAATCATAATTTTCGTTTGCTTAAAGGAAGTAAAATAAAATGATAAAAATTCCTAGAGATTTCAAAGAATAAAAAACTGAATCAAACCTTAATTTTAAATGCTCTTTTAAATCCACTTGCAAAAAATCCACCAAATGGAGCAATGAGAGAACTAAATGTTGCTAACACAATTCCATGGTACATCATGGGATACATCCAAACTTCAGTATTATTTGCTGCTAAATGCATGCCCAACTAAAAACAACAACTTTGAATTTACTTTCTTTTTTTTAATTACACTGTTCAACAATTTAAAAAAGATTTTTTTGTATCTTTGATTCTTTTTTTGCTTTTTTTTATATGTATATTAGTGGTGTAACTACAGAAATGTTGTCCAAAAAAATTAATTGAAATAAAAAAATCATTGGAAATATAAGAAATATTGATGTTTTTCTTATATTTCACAAAGTTCAAAACTTAAATTGACAATACTTAAACAAAACATAACTATAAATGTTATAAAGACACTTCTAAGTATGTCTTGGCTGAAATAAAAGTCCTCTGCATTACACTGTTCTTTTTTTTCTTGTCTTTCTCATACTCTACATCTCTCACCACAATCAAGCAGTAGCCTGCTAGAATTGCAAAACCCCATTTTCCTTGATACTAGTTTTCCGTTGTTCTTTTGTGATGGAAACATTCACAATGTTCGATGCTAAATGCACAATTATAAGGAAAGAAATATAAACAGTGGAGAAAGTGAATCTTTAATGACATGTTGCAGCCTAACTTTTGGAAAATTAAAAAAAAGTCTCATTCACAAGTTCTTGATAAGTACTTACTTTATTGTTTTCCCAAAAAGCCCCAACCAGAAATTTGAAGAATTTTGAGGCCCAACCAGAAATTTGAAGAATTTTGAGCCCCAACCAGAAATTTGAAGAATTTTGAGCCCCAACCAGAAATTTGAAGAATTTTGAGGTATTCTTCTCAAAACCCTGGTAGATCTGATATAAATGTTCACCTTTCAGAATCTCATATGTGGATAAACACACCAATAAACACACCAAACTAAAGGAAGGTGTGTTTACTTCTTGAGGTATTTGAAAGCATCATAGTTCATTACCTTTACAAAATATTTTATAAGTCCTTACTTTATATTTAATGGTGGTAACAAAACTTTTTGAAGTCCACTAATGAGGTGTGCTACAAACTTTTTTTTTCTGAATCAAGAGACTTCAGGAAAGGTCACAGAAAAAGCACAGAAACTCTTGTACTCAATATTGAGTAAATTTATTAGTCGTTTGATCAAAAATAAAAATTATGAATGCTATTTACACACTTTCTATTTTTTAAGGCGTTTCTATATACTGAATGTTCTATATACTGAATGCTAAATGACATGAAACGCTACTCAAAAGTTTATCTGTGACTGTCTCATAATAGAGGAAGATTTTTTAATAAGTGATGACTCATCACAAAATTCTTGTAAACATGATGACTCAGCAAGCAAAAATTTCTTGTAAACATGATGACTCTGAAATGAAGATTATATGATATATATGAATATATATATATATATATATATATATATATATATATATATATATATATATATATATATATATATATATATATATATATATATATATATATATATCCAAATATAGTTTTTACAATAGTTACCATAATTACATTTTTATAAAATAAATAACTACCGAGAAATTTTACAAAAGATTATATAAAGGGTGTAAAGTAATTAATAATAAAAAATAAAATAGAAAATAAAAAGATAGATGAGATAAAAAAAAATAATTGAGAAATTATATTGTTATAGTAATAGTGTATCATTTTAATTGTATATTAAGTAAATGTTTTTCCATTTTAATATGGATACCTTTTTTAATTTTGAGCTCATACTTAGAGGAAGCTAATAATTGAAAAGGAATCAAGATTTGTTGAGTTTTTGCATTTTTTTGATGAAGTAAGGTGTTTATAAAGATGGGAAGCCTTATCTGAATTTAAATGTTCTGAAATCCTTGTTGTATAGTGTCTGGTGGTTTCACCAATATATGTTATCTTTACAATATTTTTTATTATATTTGTTTAATTGATGTTGAAGTTTATTTGAAATTTAGTATAACTTCAGAAAAAATTTTTTTTTTGTTACTTCAATAGCAATACTCTTTAACTGTACATTAAAATTTGGTGACCTCATTTGTAGTATCTCCCCCTTCTGTATGAGAACCTGTACCGTCTATTTGATATAAACACTAAACCTAAGTAACTAGGTTTTTTTCATTTGATTTTATTTAATACTTTTACGTAAAGTAACAATTTTTAGACTTAAAAAAAAAAAAAAACATTTTTTAAAAGATTTAAATACCACAGCTAAAATATTTGACAGTCCATCTTGAAAACTAGCAGGCATTGAGTTGAAAACTTGAAGAGCTGATGGGTGAGGAGTAAATTGATATGAAAGCTGAAACATAGGAGAAGGAGAGCAATCCATGGTGGCTGCCAAAGAGCTTGATTCAAACTAAAAATATAAAACATGCACAGGTAAATTAAAATAATAATAATAATCACAAAATAAAATTAAAAAAAATATAAACCATACTTTCAATAAATAAAATTTGTTTAGTTTTTTCATAAATCAAAAATTAAAGGCATTTCTTATGTGATCTTAAATCTTTATGTGTTGGACATGAAATTATTTAAAACTATTGCCAACTTTATGCTGATCTCTAACGGATTAATTATCTAACAGATTTTTCCTAATTCTGAGGACTGCTTGCAATGGACCATAAAAAATTTACTTGTGGTAGAAAATAAGAAAATATGACCTGTGGTGGACAGTAGAAATATTGATAATTGCACATCAGTTCTGAAACCTGAACAAAATAATTAAATATATTAAAAGATATATACTTATCTATTTTTAGTCTTTAGCATTTAAATAGTATTTTTAGATTCATGTTTTATGTTTATATTTTTAGTATTTTTAGTAATTTCTTTGATTATTAAAGTTTAAACTTTAATAAACAAATGAAATAAAATAATAAATAATAAAGAAAGAAATAAAACTGCTGATGTTACCACTAATCCAAAAACAACAGTTGAAAACCATCCACCAATAAAACCTTCCCAAGTCTTTTTTGGAGACAACTAATAAAATAAATATTCATACTTTGATTTTTTGATTTAATTTTTAATACTTTGATTTAATTTTTAATTTGTTTTCTGAGAGAACAGTATTTTTGGCAACAGCATTTAGTATTCAATTAGCATTCAATAGAGAATATAAAGTATATTATATACAATTATATATTTATAGTATGTGTGAGTGAGTGAAGGTGTGTGTGTGTGTTTGTGTCTCTCTCTCAATATATATATATATATATATATATATATATATATATATATATATATATATATATATATATATATATATATATATATATATATATATATATATATATATATATATATATATTAGAAGTAGATTCAACATTTTTTGGTATTTGAGAAACTAATTTTCAGCTATGGAACCTATGGAATATAGTTATGTCAAATAAGGATGCTTTGCCAAAAATTTGTGCTGATTGGAGCCTGGGAACAAAAAAAACCCTAAAATTTTGGCCACCAAGTTTATAAGAAATTGTACTTAATTTATACTCCTAAAAATACAAATTAAGTAACTTAACACTATTTAAAAGTTTAAACAGGTTTTAAAGCTATTTGCTTTTTGATGGTAAAAAAATTTAAAGTTTGATAATTTTAAAGTTTAATAAATTTTTTTCTCAAAATAAAAATAGATGAATTTTTTTAAAAAACATTTCATTTACAACTTATGTTGTAAATAGAATTATACATAAAAATTTAACTAATCGTTATGGTTATAAAATATTGTCATAAATATTTTCTCTAAGATTTTAATGCAAGTCAAAAGTACCTTAATTAGCTGTGTTTTCCCAAAAAAAAAACCTAAAAATAAAATAAGCTATTTGTGTTTTGTATCTAAAACAATACTTATGTTAATAAGTTTTAGATGGAGTTTTGATAAAAAATATATATACATATATGTAAAATAAACTAACCAAAAACATATGCCATTATATCGTTGCAGATGACTAGTGAAACAGGAAGTAAAAACCTTAAAAAAACAGAAAAAGCACACTCACATACACACTCACAAAACACTCATTATAAATCTGTATGAAGTCAACATTTACCATATAAGTCCTGTCATTAAATTTTGTGTAATGAGGTGCCCAGGAGTAAGAATAATAAGTAGAGTGAGTTGATACCAACCAAACTATGTCGCCAAAAACAAAATAAAATAATAAATCTATAGAGCAATATTTTGTTCAACTTAAATAATTTAGACAAGAATTTTGTACATATAAAATAGGTTTTTTTTTTTTTAATTCTCTTTTAAAACAAAAAAACTTATTGTATATGTACAAAATTTACAAAAAAACTTACCAATGCAAACTGAACCTTGTAATAATTTTTTCTCAAACTCAGAACAAACAGCATAATACCTGAAAGACAAATCTTTTTAAGATTAAATAAAACAACAAAAGGTTTTAGTATTTATTTTTAAAAACTATAATGTTAAAATTCAACAAAATAACTTTACAATATTTGTAAAAATTAAAAATTAAATCTTTGTATTCTGATAGGAGCAAGTAGAAGACAATGCGTCTAATCACTCTGCTCCTAAGTTCGTGAAAATATCAAATAAGATTTACGTATTAAGTTCCTAAAATATACGTTATATAAGTTATATACATATTACAAGTTTTGTACATACTATAACATATTACAGCTCATAAAATATATAAGTTATAAGATGCATATATACGTGTTAACAAATCAATATATAAATGTTTTTAAAAATACAAAAGAATGTTTTTATTATTTAAATCTAATAAGAACCGTTCAACTGCTCTTTTAAATAATTCAATTGAAGTCATGCTTTTTATGTCTCTATTAAGGAAATAGTTCCACAAACGTGGTCCTCAACATGTAATTGAGAAGTCTGTTTTGCTAAGGGATGTTGTAGGGATGAGAAAGTTGCCAATGAAATGTCTTTTAGAGTATTTATGATTAATTAAGGTAAAATGAGGTTGAAAATATGTTGGAAGCATGTTGTTATGAATTTTAAACATAAATAACAGATTTTGATAGATGTTTAGTTTACAAATATTTAAAACATTAATTTTTTTAAGTAAAGGCTAGGCGCATGCATATCTACCTGCATTTAAAATTAACCGGCTCGCTTGTTTTTGTTTGGTATTAATTTTTTTTAAAGAAGATAAATAATTACTTGCCCACACTATATTGCAATAACTAATGTCATTATGAATAAATGAAAAATACAAGCTTTTTAAGCACATTATATTCAAAAGGTGCTTCGCATTGAAAAGGATCCCAAGAGCTTTTGAAATGCTGTTTTCCACTAATTGGATTTGATTTTTCCAGTTTAAATGATCGTCAAATATTATACCTAGGATTTTCATTAAATGAACTCTTTTTACTTTAATGTTGTTTATAAATAAATCAGAAAGTTGTTTGGGGTATGTTATCAGTTTTCGAAGGTTTTGTGAACGGAATATATTTAGTTTTATCAATGTTTACGGACAGTTTACTGGCTTTAAATCATTCATTGAGATTAATTATAACTCTGTGTTTACAGTAGAAAAAACAAATTTTAAATTAGACCCCAAAAAAAATATATTAGTATCATCAGCAAAAAGAACAAAATTAAGGAATTTAGAAGATAAGTGGATGTCATTGATATATAAGAGAAACAGGAGAGGACCAAGTATAGAGCCATGAGGGACACCGCAACTAATAACTTCTAACTGCGTGCAAGTTAAATCATATGTCACACATTGTTTACGATTTTGTAGATAAGACTCGATCCATTTTAGATTAGTATTTTGAATTCCATAATTTTTTAATTTATAAAGAAGGATTTCGTGGTCGACAGTGTCAAATGCCTTCGATAAATCAACAAAAATTCCAAGTGTATAATTATTGTCATCAAGTCCTTTCAAAATATTGCTAGCCAAATCCATCACAGCATGCTCAGTACAATGATTTCTCCAAAATCCAAACTGTTTAGAATATAAAATATTGTTTTTATCAATGAAGTTATATATTCTATTATACATAATAAGTTCGAGAACCTTTGAAAAACAGGAGAGAATTGAGTTGGGTCTGTAGTTTGATTCTAAAGAACTGTTGCCATTTTTATAAATTTTTATAAATTATTTTAGCAAGTTTTAATTGATCAGGAAAGTCTCCGTTTTTTAATGAAAGTTTAAAAATAATGAAAAGAGACAATTCGATAATGTCGAGACACTTTTCAAAACATTTGCATTAATTTCATCAAGACCTGCACTTTTATTTGTCTGAAGCATGTCAAAAGCTGAACGAAGTTCATCAATGGATAGTTCTGAATTGTCCATAATAAAATCTGATTTTTTCAAAAAAGACTGGAAAGTTTTGCTACTTGGAGAGATTTTTTTGGCTAAATTTTTCCCAACATTTATAAAAAAATTATTCAGTCTCTCAGCATTTGTTTTTTTATTAAAAATTTCACCTTTATTGGTTTTCAGTCGATTAGGGAGGTTGCTAGATGTAATTTTTGTTTACCCTGTTATATCTTTTATTATAGTCCAACTTGCTATATAATATTTTTTACAACAAATAATTATGTTTTGGCTGTAAAAAATACATATTTACCACACAAAATTACGACACAAAAAATACAAAAAAACAATTTATTAACTGAATAAATAACCTTTTGATAAGAAAATATTGAATATAACAATGCATTGTAATTGACTATGGAAAGATAATTATAAAGCTAAATAGTTTATAAATAAATCAATAAATTTCACAAAAGCAATTTTTTGCTTTGTTTATTTGTAAGTTTTTTTCAAGCCAAATTTTATCACAATAAATATTAAAAACAACAACAACAAATATTAAAAACAACAAGTTGTATTTGAAAGTTATTTAAACTAAATGTTTCCTCTAAATCAGAACAGTAACTTGTATTTGCTGTAAAAACAGATAAACTGTAACTTTGTACTTTAAGTACAAATGTTACACACAATTTCCTATCCTCCCAGATAAAGGATATTTAAACTCTCAGGATTATATACAGATAGATACACAGGGTATACAGATAGTATAAATATTTAGATGCTTGGTGGCACTCGATGTGTTATCTGATCAGATAGCGTATCCAGTGCACCTCACGTTATCTGATCAGATAACATGCCAAGTGCACCTCACGTTATCTGATCAGATAGCATATCCAGTGCACCTCAAGTAGTTTTGAATTATTAAATTTCTTTGATGAAAAATTGACTACTCAAAATCAAAATATAGATTGTGTTCCTTAAAAAGACAACAAAATCTGACATATAACCACAAATATTAATTTTATATCTTACCAAACAATAAAATTAAATCAACCAAACAATAAAATTAAATCAAATGTGCAATAATTTACCTGTTGTGTAGAGAAGAAAAGATATCAGCCTATGATGTTGAAGCAGAAACATAAACAAGTCCTTAAATAACAGAGACCATTTTATTTATAACAGAAAGCATTTTAATAAGTTTAATTTTTGAGACAACAAAGCTAAATTCATTAACAAACCCTTTTCTGCATAAACTCTGCAAAGTACTCAGTTATAAGTTGTCCATAAAAAAAGTAATTTGTAGAGCCTAAGAAATACCTAAATGTTAAAAAAATAAAGGTTTTGTCAGTATTAACTCCATTATTTTCTTGATTTAGTAATAAATATGTAAGTAAATTTTAAAAATAGCAACTAAAACAGAAAAAAAAATTATTTATAAAACTTATTACAATTTTAAAAATAGTGACATTTAAAGAACTCTCACCAACTAAGAGTTCGAAACCAAGGTAGATTATATTTTTTGAAGTGTAAATTTCCTACAGATATAATTTCATGGTAGCATTTGACTTGCAGTGATATTACCTGCAGATAAGTATTTTCATTTTTATTCATAAAAATCTATTTTTATTTAAATAGCACTATAATTAAAAATAATAATAATTGTAACACACACACAAACACACAAACACAAACAAACAAAAAACAAACACACACACATGCTTGTCATGATCTTGAGAGCTGCAAGTTGGTGGCAACTGCGCTTAAATTCTTTTCTCTGTTGCACTCTGAATGCCATGAGTTAGCAATTCACTGCTAGACACTGCCTTGTTTTTTTATTCTTATTTTTATTCAAAAAATTAAAGTTGACACTCAGCTGTTTAGAGTACTCCAAAAACTTTCAATAGACCAGTATATATGTCAACTGTTAGTTTTAATTTTGTAATATGACTATTTTGGCTGTATTTTAAACTTGTTGGTATAATGCCCTATTTTTGAAATGCATTTTATTGGACCCATTCCAGTAACTGCAACCATTACAATAGCCTGGTAAAATCTAATCACTAAAACACATAAACTTGAACAGATCAAGATGCATGCTTACATAACCAACACTTATACTTGTGAACAGATAAAGATACAGGCTTACATAACCAACACTTATACTTGTGAACAGATAAAGATCCATGCTTACAATAACCATTTAAGCAATTAGTTTAATATTTAACAACAACATTTATTTAAAAGTATAAGAATAAATTTTACAAAAATAAATGTGCAAAATTTAATTTCTTAACTTACGAGCAGTATAATTGCAGGGGGACCACAAATAATAATTACATAAAACCCACTAATCATCACAATAGTAAAAAAACTGCGGATCCACCAATTTTTCCATCTAAAAATAAACAACAATTATAAACTATATAAAATAAATAAAAACCAACAAGTATAGTTATCAATAAAATTGTGTTTCATGAAAAAAATAAGAAAGTCTTTAGACCCTCATTCAGAAGTTAAGGTCAAAAAATTTAGTTTTGAAAATCTACAATTACACATATTTTACAAAAGAAATATATTTTTAAACAAAAAGATTGTTTATTATTTTATCACTTGATGTATTTCCACGCATACACGAGTATTTAAAATGTCTTCTATTTTAACACTTAAAAAATCTCCTTTTTTTTTGCTCTTCTGCAACTAATGAAATGGAGCCCAGCTAAAATCTTTTAAGGCAATCCTCCAAATCGGGTGATTGAAATTTCTTGATAGTTTTTCCCCCTAAGTATCTGAGATGCTTCCCTTCCTTTTTCTCCCCAAGATTTTAAACAAAATGAATTATTTATTTTAATCAGCTATAAGCAAGAATTTTGTGCAGTATTAGTTATACATATCAAACAAAATTATTGCAAAAGCAAGGTTCAGCATCTGACATCTGTTTGTATAATTAAACAATTATGTTTTTGCCATACTTTTTACTAAATAATAATAAATAATAAATTTTAGTAAAGTAAAGTTACAATTACAAAGTCTCAGTAAAAACAACCACAAATATTTAATTACAAAAGAATATTGATCACAAGCGATTGCACAGAATATTTGTAACAAAGAGTATCTATAACTGTTTTTTTGTTCCTAGTCATAAAACGTTAACCGAAATTATAACCGAAAAACTTATGCCGCAACACAAAGGTTTGTTTTTATGCTAAATACATTTCATTGATAGCTCAGTGGTTAAGTGCGCTGTCATCAGTGTTGTTTTGTAGGGTTTAAGACCTCCTTTTAGTAAAAATTTTGAAATTTTTTAACTTAAAAAGTTAAGCCGAAAAGATTTTGCGCATTGACATCAGTTTGTGGCAAAATGAATCTTTATACGTCAAGTTTCCTTTTGCATTTATCTTAAATTTTTTTTATTTGATTTTAACTATGTTGTATACAAATGCATAAAAATATATAAAACTTGTACAGATATATCACGGATAAGAGATTGTATTTGTTACAATAATAAGTCTTTATAAGAATATATCCCATAAAAATATATTTCATATATCTTTAATAGAAAGAGTTTTTAAAAAAAATGGGAAAAAAATCTTATTTCTATGACTATTATTTTGAAAGGTCTATAGGCAGATGATGTAATTTAAGCAATCAGAAATTATCGAAATAGGGGCAAATCTAAAGTTGAAGTTTCAAATTTTCCACTTAGATATGACAATATGTTTCGTGATTTTTCAATCTTGTCAATTTTTTTAAATATAATAACATAACTACAAAAAATCAAAACAAAACAGCTTGAGCAAAAAAGAATTGTAATTATTAGAAAAGTTTACTTAAAAATAATAATTTTTTCATAAAGAAAAATGTTAGGTAAAAGTCTAATCTATTTTTGTTTGAAAAACAATGCATAAAAACATTTAGCTTTGGCTTTATTTAAAAATGCCATTTTTGTTTAATATGAGCATGCTTAAATTACCCAGTGTTTTTCATTGAAATTACTTAGTTTAAAGTCCTAAAATAGCAGTGATTTTAATTGCTTTCTGAATAAAAACAAAACATAGTAAAAAATTTTAATATTTTAACATTACTAAATATTTTTCTGTAATTTAACTTCAAAAAAACTTGAGTTTTTATCGTTAAAAGATTTGAGCTAATAAAACTAAAAAAAGAGAAAACTAACTTTTTTTTTAATCATATGCAGAACACATGGTATTATTGTTTCAACAAAAAGTGAAAAATTTGATCTTTTAATGATAAGATTTGTTAACAACGAATCATTATAAGCCAAAAATTAATTCTAATTGTCAGGTTGGTATTTTTTTTACTTAACTAATGTTATTTTTTTGAGCTATTTTTTATTTTTATTTTTTTTGCTCATATTACAAAATGATCTGGGTAATATGAGTACTTTTGTTACTTTTTTAAAACCTCTGTGTTTTTGAGAAAAATTTCGAGTGCCCAAATATCTAGGTGGGTCATGAGTAGGGATTCCTAAAAATTGTTTATTCGCAAAAATTTTGGATCCAGAATAATTATTTTTGAAAATATTCTAATTTTCGGTTTAAGTGCTCATATTACCCTAATCTACCCTATATTGTTTATATAAGTATGGTTAAGCGCAACAAAGTTAAAAAAAAAATTAGTTTATATTAAAATTGAAAAATAATTTATATAATGTTTCTTTGCAAACACCAACACACTATATTAAAGTTTTTAAGTGCACTAAACTGCAATTACTTTCAATTTTTTTGGTATAGTGGCTTTTATTAAGAGCTTTTAAATTTTGCATCAAATTATCTCATTTCAATATATTGACTGTATCATCCATACTGCAGCTGTTTTTCAAAATGCCTCAAGGTAAAAAATATCAATTTTGACATTTTTACAAAATAAGCTAGTTTATATCTACAAACGTTATTGAATACATATTTTTGAAAAAATTTATAAAAATCATTTGTTTCAAAAAAGGTTTTACAAAGAGTTAATTTTTAGTTTTTTTTTATAAATATTCTTTAATTGCGTTTTTCTCAAAATATGTAATAAGCATATTAAGGTGTTTTGAAAAACGGCTGTAACATATATTTATAGTAAAAAAATAACTGTAGCAAAATAAAACCTTTTATTGCCAAAAGAAAGTTTTAAATTTTTTTCTAGTTACTGGTTGTTTGTTTTTTGCCTTTACAGCAGCATTTCTGGAGTAGCAGGACTGTTTTTTAAAGATATTTTTGACTTCCGCTCAAAAATATCTTTAAATATACTCAAACAAAAAAAAATTTTTTGTTTGAGTATATTTAAAGATATTTTTGAGCGGAATTTTAATGAAGTAATTTACGATTATTTTAACATTTAATAAAGTATTTTAAAAACCGCACGCAGTTGAAATAAAAGTTTGAATTTAAAAAAAATTAAATATGCTCATTATTTACAAGTAGAAAAAATTCAAAAATTAAAAAAAAAGTTTAAATCTTTTAAGCTAACATTTTAATAAAATTATTCAGCAATAGCAACGTTGTCGATAAAATTGAACAAAAATACTTTCTTTTAGTTTTAGATTTTAAACTTAAATAATTATTTTACAGGGGTTTGATAGGTTTTAAAATTATTCCATAGATTTAAAAATATTTATTAACTGTTAGACGTATTTAAAGTATTTAAGAGTGATTTCGAGGAAACATTTTAAAAATTGGTGAGGGCAAATAAAAAAAAAAAAGATTAATATCAAAACGTATTCTACTTGATTCAATAAAAAAGTACAGTTATTAAAATTTTTGTAAAAAGTAACTCAAAAAAATTACTTAAATAATAACGATTCGCTTTTATGTTAAAAGTTACCGAAACTCATCGAAGCGTGCTCAAGAACAGCTGCTGAAAAATAGAACGTCAATAGTTTTTCGAATAATTTTTAAGAATAATTTTTAAGAATAATTTTTTCGCTGAAATATTTCTTTTATACCTATAAGATTTTTATTCTAACATTTTATTTTATTTTAATAGAAATAAAATTCCTTGTTAACATTAAAAATCTATTCAAAACGTTCGTTTAAGTTTTTTATTAATACGAGTGATTGTGCTTATCAACCGCTTTATGAAAATAAATAAAAATAAATAAATATTATATAAAATCGCTTGTAAAAATATTAGCTATTTTTATAATCTTTTTTAAATTTAAGTTATAATGTTTTTTATTCGTTTAGTATAGACAAAACGTGACAAACGTCGAGAAAATAAACAAATG